GCTACATTTCTAAATGTATAGAAATTTTTACTAGAAAATATTCCACGCGGTCAGACATCAGAGGGGATTCGTACCCGCACCTTTAGGGTGCTTGTTAACGAGACGATTTCTACCCGGGCATAGGCACGGTTTTAAACCGTGTCTTCGTCCGATCATTAGTTAGATACGGGTGTGTCCGGTCGACTCGGACGCTCACTGGTGAGGTCACGGAAGACTCCGTAAGGGTTCCCAAGGCCTCATCTAGTGCCATTTATTTATTTATTTATTTATTTTATTCTTCTTTACCAAAATACAGTTAATGGCGGACTTAATGCCATAGGCACTCTCTACCAGTCACCCAGCCATTAGCTGTCCTGTATCTCAGAAGAGTACTGGTCTTCTGAGATACAGGTTGCGGCCTAGTTCAGATACCAGTCTCTCCACAATCTTGTCACTAAGACATTAATTAATTCAATAAGTTTGTATATATTGTGCATGGGATTGTGAGGAGAAGAAATAAAGCATTATTATTATCTCAGCCACGCTGGTTGGGAACGTGGAACGAGTGAGATGAGGGGCATCAAATTTTTGGTGGTTAGGGCCCCCCTCCTGGGCGGTCGCTCTGCCAGTCCTAGGACTGGCTGAGCAGGCGGGTTGGTCGGGACGGGAGGAGTCCCACATAACCCCGTTGCCACTCCCAGGTGGCGGGGTATGCGCAACGCATTTTCCAGACGAGTAAAAAAATAAATGTATGGGATACCCTAGCGATAGTTTGCCGTCGGTACAAACGTATAAACCGTGTTCTTGAACATACTTCGGGTGGAAATCTCATCTCATTAAGTAGCATACTATTTGCGATTAAAAATAACGTTTCAAAATGTGTTTTGCAGGTCGGGAGGACATCCACGAAATTCACCACTACAAAAGAAACCAAAAGAATGTACACAGAAAAAACAAAAGGTAGAGAGAAGCTTGAAAGAATCTCTTCTTTCAAGCTTACTTTCCTCACAAAGAATGTGAAAGTTCTGTTTCTTTTTTAAGTTTTGATATTCAATCTCATTGTTATTAATAAAAACGCAATACTGTTGTATTTTAATTGGTATGATGAAAGTCAAAATAATGTAAATAATTAATTGAATTCTTTTAATGCTTTAAAAATGTGGTTGTAGTATATTTTTTTTAATTTTATGGCTGACGATCGCTTCTCCCGCCCTGTGCAAACAAAAATTTAAGTTCTTTTTTTTGCTTTTTTCATTGTAATGATAAATTTTATCATAAAAATAGGGGAGACAAAAATTGTTCATCATGCAATTAATGCAACCTTTAATGTCTATTTAGACTGGATTAAAATGTATATTCTTTTTTAGCCATTTTGTATTTTGATACAGAAGAATAGCTTTGATGTAACTTTTCGTACATAGTTTCTAATTATTAAATTAATGTGGAATTTTTTGATTGATAAAGTGATTGATATACGTAAAGAATTTAGTTACGACTTAATTTTAAGTAGGTAGTTAAAATAAGTTGTTTGTTACTGTCTATAGTTACCTATTCATTAAATAATAGTTTATAAGAACATGTTTATTATTTCCTACATACAAAAAACAAAGATTTCTTAAAGAACCAAAAAGTCCATCCTTCCCTCTTTACTCTCTTAAAAGTATGATTTCTGGAATAAGAAATCGTATGTCTTTTCTATCTCAAATTTCATTTATCTGGTTTAAGCGTGAAGAGCTAACACACAGATAAACAGAAAGACAAACATACACTTTTCTATTTAAATTATCAGTATGTATTGAATTAATAAAGAATGAAATAATTATCACTTTATTGTATTCAAAATTACAATTAATTTAGACAATTCAAAGTCAAACGGCGGCCTTATCTCTAAAAGGTGATTCTTTCCAGGCAACCGTGGGTAGGTAGGTTAGGCGTTGTTCTTCTTCAGTGTTAAGTTCTCTGTGCCGTCTTTGACCTATTGGAGGCCCTGGGCATATTAGGATAATGGGGCCCCTATGACCCCCCTTAGGTGATCTAACAGGAACTAGGGACTTTGTATTCGTGATCTGAGTTGGGCCCCTATCGATCGCGGGGCCCTGGGCACTTGACAAAAGTGCCCACTGGGAAAGACGGGTCTGATCATGCAGGATATTCAAACGTTCTTAGAGATAAGTTGCAGTGAAGGGATTTAACAATATACTGTAGAGGAGTAAAAGGATTATGTATATTTAGGCGGAGACGAATTGGAAACCACTTGAGCTTGATGCTTATATCAGATACTTGATCATATTTGCCAAAAACTTATGAAGCCGCTTGAGTTTATTCGGTTGTTCCTCAGTTAGGCCCAGACATCAGCATAGTCCAAGATTGGTAGGGGAAGAGATTGTGCAAGCACTTTTTAGTGGCAATTAAGGGAAATTACGTGAGTTTTTCAAGGAACCAGCTAATCTTTGGCTGAAGCATACATTTTACGGCTTGCTTCCTGTATTTGAGATCTCCGTGTAAGTTATAATTTCAATTTTTTAAGCATGTAAGTGCTTGATGTTTAAATTTAAAGAAAATAACTAGCAAAAAATCCACGCCGACCAGGCAGCAGACGGGACAAACCCGCACCCTTCGCAATCCGGGCGAATGCACTGACCAATTATACTAACGGCCGCGTCGAAATTTTCTGAATTTGACCTTGTGGGTTACCTACAATGCGAAGAGATGGCGCTGCCTTGCAGCTTAAGAATGGCTAGAAGAATTTCGACTCGGCCGTCAGGGCCGCGGTAGCATAATTGGTCAGTGCATTCGCCCGGATTGCGAAGGGTGCGGGTTCGAGTCCCATCTCCATGTAAGGTTTTTGTCTATTAATAACCCTAAAATTTTACATGGTTTGTTTCTATAACGGATTGACTTTAATGCCGTAAGACTTGCCCCATTCACAAATAAGTTACAGATCACAGTTGACTATGTTAATTGGAGAGAAAAGTTGATCAGCTGAAGCATGAAAATAAAACTGCTAAACATCTACATATATAGGTGATGGGATGAAACAGGTTTGGATAAAATAGAGTTAGTAAATATCATCATCATCATCATCATCATCAGCCTATTAATGTCCCCACTGCTGGGGCACAGGCCTTCCCTATGGATGGATTAGGGAGATTGGGTGCTAACGACTGCAGATTCAGCCGGGACCAACGGCTTCCTTCGCGTGCCTTCCAAAGCACGCAGGAGCTCGAGATAGTATTTTTTTTTGGTAACCCATCCAATGACCAACCACTGCGAAAGTTGCTCAACTTCCACGACCGCAACCGAACGCGCTAACCACTCGCGCTATCAAGCTCCTCATAAATATAGCAAAAAGTAATGGAGATAAAACACTACCCTGTAGAATATCAGCAGCAGAAATATAAAACTAGTAGGAAAATAAATCTTCGATGCAATTTTGCTAATAGCACTCAGACAGGTAACTACGAAACTAGTTAATCACTGCTGGATATATATGCTAAAGAACGTAATATGCCAAGCAAAATGTCAAAGTCAATGGTGTTAAATGCGTTGGTAAAATCAAATGGAGGCGAGGCGTGAAGACACAACATGCAGGCCGGCGAGGTGAGGATGGCTGGTGAGGCAGGTAGAACTGCTGTACCAGCTATCTTCACCGTCACTTAATATCAGGTGGGACAGAGTCATTTGTCAGACCTATCTATATGAAAAAAAATGAGGAAACCGTTATTTTTCCATGTTTCATACCCGACCGCAGTCTTAAAAATACTCTATATTTAAAATATATAATTTCACCAATGTTTTATAGAGTAAGATCTCAAGACCGCCAGATCTTTATTTGTATAATAACGACTTCAGTGGCTGAGTAGTTTGTACGCCGGGTGATGAATACGAGCATTTGTACTCCAGTCATGAATGTTTAATATGTATTTTGATATAAATATACTTATATATATGTACTGTTTATGTATTCTATCCGTTACCCTAGTATCCCATTACACAAGCCTTACAGTGCTTACTTTGGGGCTAGGCTTATTGCTGTGAGTGTTGGAAATATTTATTTATTTATTTATTACTTATTTTCTCATGGACAAAATATAGATAATCGAGTAGTATTAGTGTATCCAATGACCGCATACAATATACTCCCTTACTTGTGCTGTGAGCCAAGTTTCAGGTAACAAGTGGCATAGACACTGGGTACTGATTCTGACGTATGTTGTAGAGAATATTGTAAACAATTTGACATTACTACTGCCAGACACGTTCTGTCGACAGTATTTATTACCAAACACTTTAAATGTCGAAAGCAAAATCACAAACTTATATACAGTCTACTATTAAGGGGGCTATTATAATTTGTAAGTTACAAGACCAATCTTAGGGCCCAAAAATTCCTTAAGCCTGTTTAAATTGCCACTGTGAGAAAAGGCGCACTAACCAAGTGCCTTTACAATAAAGCTTCATTAAAGTTATCTCATAATATAGCATTAAGGACGCCTTTAACAATAATTAAATAATTTCTTATTATCTAATTATCAAAATTATAGCAGAAAATTTATAAGGTTTTTTGCTTTCGTCATTAAAAGTGTCTGGCAATAAAATCTGCTGACAGAATGCGTCTAGCAGTATTATTTTCAAATTGTTTACAATATTCTCTACAACATATGTAAGAATCAGTCTTCAGGCTGTAAGTAAAGTGAGTAAATTTTTAACGTGCCATAATAGAGTATACATAAAAATTGGCTCACAGCACAAGTTAGCAAGTACGTATACGTTCATTGTACACACTAATACTACTCAATTATCAAAAATTTGTCCATGAGAAAATAAGTAAGGTCTGGCGGTGTTGGGATCTTGTACTTATGACCGCGACTATCGCATAGTTCTCAACGCCATCTATACGAAGCTAGCGAAATCTAATCGCAACATGTTCCGAATTCTGCAAGCAAAAGCAGCATTGCCATATACCATCTAATTGCTACGGCAGGCTACGACACTTGCATTTGGGCGTTTCGTAGCTACGATATTGATTACGCATGCGCGGTCATTCATCTGAGAACTTCACAGCATCACGATTTTGTAAACATGTACCAGTAAATAAATTTATCAGTTTCCAAATATTCTTCATAAGTAGAGTAAATAAGCAAAGACAGTGAAAATGCGTTTAGGAATAATTTGTGTTTTCTTCGTTTTCGTAAAGAACAGTTTGGGTAAGTCTATATCATTTATATTATTTAGAACTATTTGAAATGAAACTGTGAACTCGATATAAATATTAGTTTAATTTAGGTAAGAGACTAAAAGTTTAATAGTTGGGAATGAGTCTTTTTTATTATGTTTTTTTTAAGAATTAGAAAAATAACACAGCAATACAACTTTACTTTTGAGGCAGAAAATTAATAGAAGTGCATTCTATATTTTACTTTTATTCCAATAAATTGATTCTTTAACACATCAACCGACTGTCAGACTTAGAAAATTTACATTTTCATATAAGCTGACCCCTACGACATCGTCTATATAAAACAACTCATTTTCCTATGCCTGTATTCCCTTTATCTTCAAACCAAGCTCATTGAAATCGGTTCAGTGGTATAGTTTTGCAAACGTAACTGAAATATAGTTACTCTCGAATTTAAAAATATTAGTATGGATTTGTCAATAAATAAACATTTTACTGACTACTTCAAAAGTCATTACGATGCTGCCTTTTAACGAGGTAATTGATTAATATTTTTACTTAAAACATGCTTTAAATCAGTAATTTATCGAAAGACTTAACAGAATTGCTACAAAGCAAAGAGAATCATATAAATGATAACTTTCTTCATGAGTTTGAACAGGAGTATCAATTTGTCAAACTGCATGTTTTATCATGAAAATAAATAAAAAGAATAACATTTTTTGAAGTTATACTTCTTTAGGCGCGTTATGAAAAAATGATGAGAGTGAAATTTTTAAATGCGCGCGCATCACTGTAACCCAAAAGTAACAGCATGAAGTTGCCCGCGGGCGCGTTATGAAAAAATCATGTGAGTGAAATTTCGAGATGCGCGCGCATCACTGTAACACAATAGTAACACCATGAAGTTGGCCGCGGGCGCGTTATGAATGTTAGTGTCAATTATTAACCACTTAGTGGTTAATAATCCACCATTATTAGACATCTGTTCGAAAGGTACTTTGAACGATCCACGGAGCTCCATAAGATGATCGCGTTGTCAAAAACAATGTTGGCACGCTCGTCGCCTCTGATCACTGTTTTCATATTTATAATATTTATCCACATGTTTCTAGTTTCTATATAGACACAACGTGTTTTAGTTACTTACAAGTGCTAATTACATATGGACTAATAACTTAAATTCAGTAGTGATTTTAATTGAATATTTTGAATATTTATTTAATTTTTCAAATTAAAACTGAACTTAATTGACTGTGTTACCTATCCTTTTCCAGTCCTTTTATTATTTTATTGTAATTATTAATTATTTGCATGCAATTAAAAATATTTTTAATGATGCTAAAGAAGTATAACTTCTCACGCGCGTACATAAGTTACACGCATCCATTTTTTTTATTTTATCTAAAACTGTTATATAAACTTGATGACTGTTAACCTTAGGTCTTACTACAAAAAGGAAATGAAAGCCAAAATGTCAAGAATTTTAGCATTTGGCGCAATCATCGGTTCTTACTTTTGAAGTGGGAAGACACTCTTTCAGCTTTTTCGTTTATTACTCTTAGTTTCACCTCTTTTGCCTTCCAATACTTTACAGGCGTGAAGCTCCTGGAAGCTAATCCGGATGTCAAACGCTTGTATGACGATTTGCTCAGCAACTACAACCGCTTGATTCGACCGGTCACCAATGTGAGCGACATTCTCACTGTCCGACTGGGACTGAAGTTGTCGCAACTGATGGAGGTCAATTTGAAGAACCAGGTCATGACCACGAACCTTTGGGTGGAGCAGGTGAGCTTCAACTTTCACTTTTGGATAAATTTAAGGGCGTGAGGAAGGAGTTTCCGTTAAAGTTGTTTTTTAAAAGAAATTTATTTGTATCATGCGCAGCAAATTATTTTGCCCCACCTGACGTTCAGGCGTAAGTGGAGAACGGTCGCGAAGGTTGATGTCTCGGTGTGAATCTAGCAGAAAAGTGTGTCTTTTCAATTCATCATCATCATCAGCCTATTAATGTCCCCACTGCTGGGGCACAGGCCTTCCCTATGGATGGAATAGGGAGATTAAGCCATGAACAACCACGCGGGCCCAGTGCGGGTTGGTGGGTGCTAACGACTGCAGATGCAGCCGGGACCAACGGCTTAACGTGCCTTCCAAAGCACGTAGGAGCTCGAGATAGTAAACTTTCGGTCACCCATCCAATGACCGACCACTGCGAAAGTTGCTTAAATTCAACGATCGCAGCGGAACGCGCTAACCACTTGCGCCATCAAGCTCCTCTTCCTCTAATTATATATCAAAAAGTATTGTGATTCACTCTGTTCTTCTGTTAGGTGGAGGTTGCTTCTACAGACGGTTACTCAATCTCAACGAGAAAACCCACTTTCCCTTACTTCTGCTCATTTTATCTCTTTTTGTTCTTCCAACTAGCGACAAAAAGTGGCCAAATTGTCGAACTAATTAATTCTCTAGTAAATGAAATTGAAAAATTTAAACTAGATGGAACCGATTCCATTAAGTTTTGCAGCCTTGTAAAAGTTTAAGTATTATTTTAAGATAAATAATAAAAAATAGTAGTGGAGAAAAGTCAACCTCATTAACTGATTAATTCGCTTACGATTTCAGAAATGGTTCGATTACAAGCTGACATGGAACCCCGACGACTATGGCGGCGTTGAGATGCTCTACGTGCCGTCGGAGCACATCTGGCTCCCCGACATAGTGCTTTACAACAACTGGGATGGGAACTACGAAGTGAGTTACTACGTTACTATATTGGTAGGATTTATATAATCGCGCGCGACCGGGTTCCATCCATGAGAAAGGCCTGCGTCCCAGCAGTAGGGACATTAATAGGCTGATGATTACATCTCATTCTTATGATACTTCAGTCGATATTTTAATATACATATTTTTACGTTACTTTTTGGTAGATGTAATATTTAAAAGTAAACTTAAGTTTTTGATAAGGCAAGACGCGCTAAAATTTAAGTATGTATCATGTCAAATGGATGATCTTTATGAAGAAGCTTCTTTTTTATGTGCCCAGTTTTACCTATCTGGTCAATTTAATGCTAAAATCGGTGTTTGAGCAGAAGAAGAAGAAAACATTTAAATTCAATTCACAGAATACAAAATTAGAAGAAAGTTTTACCAACCTGTTTTTTTTCTAGAATAGACCAGAGTGATTTTTTACCATATGAAACAGTTAAAACCACTGGCTTAAAACGAATTGTGGGCTAAAAACCGGTTTATTTACAATCAGGCTAATCCTGTCTCATTCATTCAAACAAAACTGCTAAAGCAGTTAATCCTAGCAAGGGAAAATTTATTTATTAGAAACAAACGGTCATACATATACTAACGTCAAAATATTGTCAATTTTACATCACTACAAACCTATAGTTTCCTTAATTAGAAATCGTTGCTGTGCAACGAATATTGTGAAGTAGATACCTTTATTAAAATCTATTTACGTATTACATTTCGCAGGTTACTCTAATGACGAAAGCCACTCTGAAGTACACCGGCGAGGTGAACTGGAAGCCGCCCGCTATATACAAGTCATCGTGCGAGATCAACGTTGAATATTTCCCTTTCGACGAGCAGACTTGCTTTATGAAATTCGGCTCTTGGACTTACAATGGGGCACAGGTGAGATATATTTACAAAATAAGTAAACATAGAAGTACAGCACTATAGGAATTAACCAAAAGGTTCGTGATCTCATAGCCGCGTCATAAAGTATTATGTACACCGTGAATTTTGAAGTTACCTAAGAAACTTTACTAGCTAATTCAGACAGCGATAAAGGTTATATTTACGCAAACAAAGAAGATTTTTCCTCAATTTAGGTCGCATTTATGTTTAGGATGGTGGAAAACATTGTCTTCTTGTGAATGATCCATAGAGCTATAAGGGCATCACCATGCATTGTATAGATTCTTTTCTAATTGATCTATAATGTGCGAAATTGATCTATAGGACAGTGGCAATATCTCAATATCCCATTTGATGAATATATCAGTTTTAACATATAATAATATACATATTATGGTTTCTAGGTCGACTTGAAACACATGGACCAGTCACCCGGCAGCAGCCTGGTGCACGTCGGGATCGACCTCAGCGAGTTCTACTTGTCAGTGGAATGGGACATATTGGAAGTACCTGCCACCAGAAATGAGGAATACTACCCGTGTTGTCCAGAGCCTTTTTCAGGTATACTGTATCTTCCTAAATATTTATGAATATTTGCTATTACCCGTGGTGCACTCTCATTGTTTATTTGGGTGGACCATGAGTACTTATTTCTTTCCGTAGTCTATCCAAGAGGACCATTTTTTTTTTCCTATGGACCACTCAAGCGAACAACGCAGGTGGATCAGAGACATAAAAACGACGTATCAATGACCGATCCTAAATCTTTCCAAAATTGTAATTAAGTAAGTAAATACACTTTTTGTTTGTCTGTCTAAATTGAAATTGACTTCAGATTATAATGTACAAGATTCAGCTCTCTGATTGACGGATGCACTACATACTTCATGGGCTCCGTTGTCACTTTTTGCGTATGAAATCCTTAAAAGAATCGGAGATACACTAAATAAAAAGTTTAAAATGGATTTGTTTTGTTTGCAGATATAACTTTCAAACTTACGATGCGCCGCAAGACCCTGTTCTACACTGTGAATCTCATAATACCTTGCGTAGGGCTAACGTTTTTGACTGTTCTCGTGTTTTACTTACCGTCCGATTCGGGGGAGAAGGTAAGATTTAGGTTCATGAAGCGTGCGGCCAAACTGTATTTAATGGGTTGATAACCCACATTTTTAAGGCTGAAAATGTCTCTGTTAACGATGTAAGGTCGAGATTACCATACAGCTAGTTAGATTTCCAAAATTTTTCAAATTTCATATTAAGTATAAAAATCACAATTTTTTGTTAGGTTACAGTTGTGACCATAACCAGAAAGAGGCCAAATAATTACTTGGTTAATAGAGGCCTTTTCAACACAAAAATGTTTAGTGTCAACTCCTGAGCCCAACAAGTACAGTTATTCCAAGCGTGCGAGTGATGTCCCCTTCTTTGTCGCTGTCATTTGTTTTAGGCCGCGTTGTTTCATTGATAGTAAATGATGATATACCTCAAATACATTATTGTAAATGTGTCATATTTTATTTTGGGTCTTTTTTTTTCTTTAGGATTCAACTATAGTCAAATTTAACTATCGGTGAAACAACGCGGTCTTTACTTTTCATGCTATACGACGATGACACTGGAATTGGGAAGTACCTAACTTCTTCGTTTGTAGGGATAAAAAGCATTGGCAACTCAGATTTAAGTTTGTTTCTTCATCATTACATATTAGAAAAAGAAACATAGGTAACTTCTTTTAAGCCAAGTGGCATCCTGATTTTTAGGCACATTCTTAATGCATAATATACCTACCAATAAAACAGAACGTTTATGGGGCTATAAGAGATCGTGATTCTTACTAGATTAGTTAAAGATGTCGTGGACTGGATTTGCACAAAGAGTCTGTCGTGTCCCGTTCTAAAACTGGTCGCCTAGTATTAGAATCAGCGACTGAAATCGCACAAACTCACTTTGCATGAGCCTTTATGTGTATAGCAAGATATTGTCTGTTTATAATTTATAATCTCAAAAGTTAAGAAATAAATTACGTCAATACTTTTGGTTGTGTTTGGCAATGAATAATAAATTGAGATAATTAAAAACGACCTTATTTAATTTGGAATATCAGCATTCCAAATTAACTTAACTCGTTTTTAGTTCGAGTTACCATTGTTTTTTTTTTGCAATTTTAAGGGTAATTATTTTAGAGATGTTTGTTATATTGACCTTAAGGAACCGCTAAGTACAATTTTATATTAAATAAAAATTGTACGTTGTAAATCTCAATACTAGCAGTTCTTTTTTCGTTAATTTTGTTAAGTTTATAATTTTGACGTGATAACGTCATATAAATCGAGAAACACCGGTTACACGCACGAAAAAGTGTCACGTTCCGCCTGAGCCTGAGCGTGCAAGTGAAAGCGTGGAACAAGCGATAGACCCAAGCGTACCTCCTCCTTAACGACACGTTATCACGTAAAATTATTGTACGTAAACGACTTTAGAGACAACCAATTCTTTTTACAAGTTAAGGTCACACCTGTATATTTAGATATGTGTGGGAAGAGATATTCGATTTCTTCTCATAGATCCGATTCATTTTCAATATTTATTAGGCATGTTACCAATTTCATGATTGAAAATCTTTTTTCGCAGCCACTAGGTCGCTTGCTAACGACCGGTTTTTCGCTGGGTCTAAGCACGGTTTCTACTCGGGCCTGTGCCGGCTAAGCTTATTCACGAGCACGGTTTGTACGTTTGTACCGACCCCAAATGCACGTGTCGTTAACAAACCTCCATAGTGTTACATACTTAAATAACGACCGGACGTAGAAACGGCTAACATACACAGAACAAAGAAAGAGGTAGAAGGGCCTTGTGGCCGGGGCAGGCGCGATACAGTTATGTGTGAGTAAATGCTCATAACTGAACCAAAACTTGATTCTGATTTGGTTGTTGCTCTCGGATGTGTGCGCTGATAGGTTCGATTGTTTGATTGGCTATTTTCTATTAGGTTGAAGTAGTGGGGGCAGGCCGGCGACATCGGTTCCCGTACAAACGGTCTATTGTCTTCCTTTAAACCTTTCTGTGTTCTGTGGATAAAAACCATGCTTAGACCCGGGTACAAATTGTGTCGTCAAAAACGCCTTTAGTTTCCCACATGCCCGCTTAATGATATTTGTTAATGACCCTTCGTCAGTTTTCTCAGAAACAGGTGTTACCTTCTTTATAAATATAATATAACTTAGTACGTATAAGAATTTATGTAAAAACGATCCGTAATATGGATTTATTATGAATTATATGCTCATATTAAATTTAAATTTAGACCGTTGGATATCGTTTAATTGTTAAAAAAAATAGAAAATCAATTTGCAATATAAAACTTTCTTTATTAACCCTTTTAACAACAAACTTCATAAGATAGATTAATCTTCTTTAAGAGAAAATAATAATACCATGAGACTTGTAGATGGATATTAAGAGGGATTTCTCTACCTAAGTACAATCAAAGACTCAACAGATTATTAAAAATAAAGATATTTCTTCCGAGTTGTTGATTCGACTTTTAAATTTACTTGCATAATACTAATCACATTCACACATCTATGTATTTAATAACAAAATATATAGTAAAGTTAGTAATAAAATAATTGTCGATAATTTGATGATTTTATATAATAAGCGCATCTCAACATCAAATCCATGTTACGGATCGCAAATATTAGATGTATTTCATAATATTGTATGTTCAATTGATCAAAAATAATCTGCTTTAGTGATTGATAATTACAAGATTGCAGACGGATGAGTTGGAAATATTTAATAATTGTATTAAGAAGCAGGAGCCCATTATAAGTTGCATAAAAAAATCTAAGCAGTAGTTAGTATCGAGAAACTTACAAACATCGTAAATGGGCTGTAAATGTGGCTTAAGTCATGAGCAGAAGTTCACGACGAAGGTTTATGATAAGAAAAGCTTTCTTTAATCTGTCACTCGCTTTTATTTTATTGACAGATGAAAATGATAAGTCAACATTTAAGAAAGTTGCACCTCAGGACCAACTTTGGGTTCCTACTCGTCCTTTACAAAAATAGTTGATTTGAATCATAAAGGCAACATTTCTGCTATAAAGTAAGACCTAAATGTTCTTTGTTTTTGAATGTTCACAATTGAGTGAGAATTTATTTTAATCTTTAGTTAAACAGATATTATATCATGCGAAGAAGATATTAAAAATTAAAGCAGATTATTTTCTTCAAATCAAAATTTATCCATGGGTTTACTTTTAGGGGCATGTTTTTATCCCTTAATCCATTGAAACCATTTTCCATGTTCCATGTTTTGTCCACCGATCGTCCTTAACCAGTGTTGGTCTTTTTTGATTCAGTAGTTAGATGTGTGAGTGTGTTAGTATCATTATAAAAATCATTATCATTGTCTTTCCACATTTCATACGGAGTAACTTCGTTTGTTTAACTAAAGAAGAGCTTAAACATTTTGGATATATCATTTGAACAAAATTGCTCCGTCTTCCGTAATCAACTAAAATTTATTGATGTTCCATAACTTTTGATATGTGTCATAGCTCACTTAGTAAATTGTGTTTTATCATTTCGTTTGATTATTATTATTCATGTAATTTGCACAGTTAAGGGTTACATTACATTACCCTATTGAGAATATAATATTTACATTGATAACAACCCGTGACGGTATAGTGTTAAATAAATTCATTACCTCAAGCACTTGCTTTGAATAACAAAGATTTGAAAAACATCAGTATTTTATATAGTTTAAAGTCTGCTAATGATTTTAAAGCATAGTTCTATTTATTACGTACTTCATTTTATATTGTAGAGACTGTGAAATTTCTACTACAGTCTGCTTATTAAACAGAAATATATTGTTATGTGTGTATTTTTTATAAATAAACAGTAACCGATAAGATAGTTAACAAAAACATTGTCATTAATAAAGTGCTCTTAAAATTTCACTTTAAACACGATCGCCATGTTTCTATACACCTAAGAAACAATTACAAGCTTTCAATCACTAGCAATAAAATTAATGAAATAAATTCTGCATTAAAGCTGTTATTACGGTCATAAGGTCTTTTAAAACAAAGTATCATTCCAATACACTGACAGAAAGGACTTTTAGACTTTGCTTTACTTTAGACAGACAAAGGCACTTTAGCTATTAGAAATTAAGCAAGAAGAATTTAAAATTATTTTCTGTTAGTGTGTCGGAGTCATGCATGACCTAGTGATCCAAACACAAGGGCTAACGATGTTATCACAGCTTCAAAAGCATAGTGGAAAGACAATAATTAGCTTAAACGTGTACTCAAAAAGGACTTCTCTCCCCTAGATATCGCTCTGCATCTCAATCCTGGTGTCCCTCACAGTGTTCTTCCTTGGTTTGGCCGAGATCATCCCGCCAACGTCCCTGGCGATTCCGTTGCTAGGAAAATACCTGCTATTTACAATGATACTCGTGTCGCTCAGCGTATGGGTCACAGTTTGCATTGTGAACGTCCACTTCAGGTAATTTGTTTGCTTTCTCGTAGATATCATTAAGCATCTCGATATTGGTGTCGCTCACGGTATTTTTCCTGCTATTGGCCGAGATCATACCACCCACTTCGCTGGCGATACCGCTGCTAGGGAAGTATTTGCTGTTCACAATGATTTTGGTGTCGTTAAGTGTGTGGATGACAGTCTGCGTTCTTAATGTACACTTCAGGTGAGTATTAATTGTTTGAGCATGTAGTCTTTGAGCAGAACTAAAAAACAAATTCTGAACTTTAATAAAGAAAAGAATATTACGACTGTACCATGAACACCAAAATCGACTCAAGTAATAAATAATCACTGTTGTGTAGCGGTGGACTGTACTAAGCTAAAATGGGATTTTAATGTAGAGAAAAGACAGGTAGTAAATAAATAAAATTTTATACGTGTTCACAATAAATACGTTTGTAAGCAGTAGTAGTGACAAGACAATAGCAAAACCTATCAACAAATAATAAATAAATAACGTAGAGAAGTATAAAGGATTTAAAAAATACATAATAATAACATGAGAGTTTAGTAGCCACAGCCAGTTGCCAACAATCACAATGTCTATTTTTTTAATCTGTTGATTAATTTAAGAGACCTTTCACATTTTTTGCAAAAAATCGTAATTTTTGAGCGCCTTAGAAAAGAATTTGACTTTTTCCAACAGAAGTTAACAGTAGAATTATTCTTCCTATTGAAAGTTAATGTAGAATATTGGCAAATACTATTTTCCTTTTTTTGTACTGATCGTTCTACTGCAGCTAGTGTACAGAAATACGATAATATGCACAACTTCAAACGCCTGAATCGCTCAATAATGTTCACTAAATTAGATCAAATTAATTACTACGACTTTAGAAACATGTTTTTGTTGTAACATAATGTATTAGAATCTTGATTTTCTATCTCATTAATTATCAAAAAAAAAACCACTAACCTCCGTGAGTTTTCCCAAAAAATAATGCAGGTTTACCTCGTATTTCGATATTGAATTAAATAGAATTACTATCAAAATTTTTCATAAAACTAATCTACCATCATTGAACTACAGAAATATGTATATATTTTTATAATTAGTTCATTAATACTTATTTTATAAGACTCTAAACATCACCCGTAAAATGCAATATATACTAGTGCAAATCTACCTGCGCGCCGATTAGTACGGTAGCGGTGCAATTTTGTAAAAGGGCTCTTAAGTCAAGATTTTTTTTTGAAACGAGGCTCAAGTTGAGGCAATTGAAAAGGTTTGCTGCTCTAGCTGTCGTCACCTTGCTGGCCTGAATACAATCCCCTGCCCCGCGGAGCCCTGGAGCCCTATTACCAGCAGAAACACAACACCACCAAAAGGTAGTGTTATTTTAATAAAACGTCTTATAGTTGGCAAAACTCAGAGTGATGAAACCGAAATAGTTCATTTTTACTACCAGAAAACAAAATTTTATGCCTACAAAATATAAAATGAAATATTAAGATAACAGTCACAAAATGGTTATATTAGTATCGGTAGAATTTAATTTTTATGGATCAAATAACACTATGAAATATTATACTAATAGCCAGAACTAAAATAGCCATAAAGCTGTTACTATCAGCTGACGTCTTCCATTAATTCCCCGGACTCTTAAATAATAATAACTTTTTTCATATTTCACAAAAGCTATTCAAAAAAATAACGTTCATGAACACTGGGAGTCGCCCAAAATGGAGATAGGATGCATAAATTCTATCCTTTGTAGGGCGGTCCTCCTAGTGGCGTCAAAACTATGAAGTATGCGTGTCGCATTAATTCAGAGGCGTGTCCTAAACAATCTTTGAGACCAACTTACGTTTGAAGTCAGTTTATCAGAAACTTAGTCGTAGGTAAAGATAATATGTATATAAGTAGACGCTTTCTAAAATAGAAAATACTGAAGTTGTCTTCAAAGATTCTTTTATATTTGCTAAGAGAACCTACGAGTAATTTCAGATTTTGTTCAAAAGGCATAGTCGGCAATGACATAAACGATAGCATAGTATACTTTAGTACTTGTACCTGATGAATGTACGTCGTTTAAAATGCATACATACCGACCTATATATGTACCTACAAAAGTATAAGACGGTAATATATTCAGTTTACCAAATATTGAATACTTGATACAAACAAGTAAACGAGCCTTAGAAAGTGTATAATTATGGTAAAAATAAAAATTAAATCATGCAAACAGTTTTATATGCAAAATGTTCGGGCGCTGGCTGTACTGCATAAATCTAATGCCTCTATTGTAACAATGCCACCTCGATAGCACACAATGCCGTAATATATAGCCACTGGGCGCATTCTAAAATAGGGAATTTTCTGTACACGCTGCACTTACGAATTTGCCAAGAAAAAAAGAAGCTTTTTATCTACTTTATTGCTGGCCATAAATAAAATCAGAACAGTATGGCACTATACTTGGTTCCGCCTGTTTAGATATGTTTGTATTCAGAGCGTATTTTCATTTTACTTCGTAACGAGTGGAAGAAAGATTTAGGTGTTTTTATCAACAAGATGGATTCGAAAACGTAATACATTTTTCAAAGATATGTTCGGTTTGATAACGAAATAATTAAAAACTCACAAATAATTCAAATACCTCGGCTACGTGTCTTCTTTTGGCTTTTATTATTTTCAAAGGTATAGCCGTTAGTAGAAGGTTATAGCAATACATCTTGTATTACAAACAATGAAATCAAACAGATTAAAAAAAATAGTCGGGCATCCCAAGGCAAAGGCGATGGTATCCTAAGTTTTAACAATTTAAGAAGACTCAAAACGGGACCGCGTCAGTGCGAGTAGTATAATGTCATACTTATCAGATTCAACGAATTGACGGATGTGGAACAAAGAGACAACTGAAGGGTCAATGATTTTTAACACCAGAAAAGACTAATAGGGGCAATGACGTATAATATAAAACATCATAGAACAGGAGTAAAAATAACATGCAGTTCCTGCGGTCACGAAGGAAGAGTGGCAGATTTTAATTTATTTTCATATGAAAAAAAAACAAATATACTATCAAGACAATAAAATTATTTTTGACTAATCATACAATGTATGGATTGTGTGAATTAAATGTTTTTCAGTGTGTTTGCTGCATATGTCGTAGGATGGTATAATAAATCAGATTTCTCGAAAATCCTAGGGATTTTGGGAAATCACGGATAAATAAATAATTAGACGGTGGCGATGACATTTCTCAATATTACTAAAAAAAAGGTGTTGATACGCGAAATTACGAAAAAAAACGTTGGCTTAAAATATAAATTTGCTTGGGTTTACACTAAGTTATGTTAGTTTTATGACCATGACGTGCGAGCCGAGCGAACGTAGCGAGCGTGCTGCGTTAGCGGCCGGCGAAGATCAAGAAAAAGAATTCGCTAACAGTAAGATTTTGTAATGTCTAATTGTGCATTTGTCTAATTGTTCGCGTTATCGCGAAATTCTTAGGATTTTAGTGAAATTCGATTTATCAAATCATCCTACGATACATACAACACCGCGCAATGTGTGGTCGGTCCGTTTAAATGAACGAACGCGCTCATGTAAATTGCAACCGCGCGAGTCGCGTTAATAGCCCAGTAAATCATCCACCCTCATTGTTATTTTGTCATTACGGTAATAGAACATTGTGAATGCGAGAGTTATGGCTGATAGTGATAAACGCTATTAGCGCCCGACAACAAGTTACGCTCGCAATATACTTACCTAGTACCCATCTGTTTGCATTAAACGATTGTTTAATAAGAAGCGAATTGGAGGTGGTTTTAATGTCCTTATTTTCTGTTCACACAACCAATTTACTAAGACTTTATGAGAGATAGGGCATAGCGGATTGGCCGCTTAAATTAAAGCGCCCGTCTGGAGATCACCACCTTACAGTAGATCAACGTAAAATAACACTAACTTATGGTGATGTTGTGTTTCTGTCAGTGAATAAGGTTACGGGGCTCCACGGGGTAGGGGTTTAGTACAGGCTAGGCAACGGCGCGTGTGATATTTTTGCTATTGCAAGCTTCTATTGGCTATGGCAGCCGCTTGCCATAACGGGCTATATGCTTGTTTGGCTACTACAATGCCTTTTTATTTTAAATGGAAGGTTTTTAACATAAAAAAAAAAAACGTACGAGTAGTAACCGATGTTTAAGTTTGAAATGAGTCCAGAACCTGGTCTCTGCAATCGTGGAAAATATATACATAATTAAGATTGGAACGTTCGCATCTGTAAAAGCACAAAGTTTCAAATCAATCAGTGGTTGGTGTAAATGTGAAGTATAAACAACTTGAAATGAAACAGGCTTGATATTCCCAACAGGTCTCCATCGACACATACAATGTCTCCGTGGATGAAGAAACTGTTCTTGCAATTCATGCCCAAGCTGCTTATGATGAGGAGGACCAAATACTCCTTGCCGGACTACGACGATACATTCGTCTCGAATGGATACACCAACGAACTGGAAATGAGGTTTGTACCAATACTACATTATAACTTCTTTTGATATGTTTTCTCTGCTGGAGGCACAGATTTTTAATGTATACGAGTACAAAATCATCACCGACCACAACGGACCATAACTCATTTACTCAAAAAGAAATTTCTGGGCGTTGAAGAGTGATTGTTTATGCTTAAAAAACTAAACATTATGACTTCTACAAAGCCTTTGTCCAGCAGTGGATTTCTATTATTTACTTCTAGTAGGGGGCCGTTCAAGTATTACGTAAGCACATTTATTACAATTATTTACCCCCTCCTCCCCCTCGTCAGCAAAAGTAAGCAAAGCTCTTACCCCTCCCCCCCATCCTTACGTAAATATTGGTACCTATATGCATTTTTCCTTTAATGTATTCTGTTTTTTTTTTATTGATTCATGAGCTTTCATGAGCTTCATGAGCAGCAGTACTTAATCGATGATGCTGACGTAATCACCATCTCTACCCCCCACCCCCCCCATGTCATCAAAAATAAGCAAAGCAAAGACCCCCCTACCCCCCTATAGTGCTTACGTAATACATGAACAGCCCCTAGCTGAAGATGGAAAACTTATATTCACATACACAATTCACAAAATTAATTTAACTAGTTTACGAAAATCAAAATCAATAGGTATTTCTTGTTATATCAGCATTGAACATGAATTTCACAAGCTTAAAGGATATAAGTAATTGTCTAAACCTGAGGATTGAGGCACTCTGTATGCTGAAATACAGGAGGAAAATCCTAGTTCGGCAGAAGCTGTCTAAAGATTGTCTTTTATATTCTTAAGCTTATATGTGGTGTCTATAGTTTATAAGACATAATTTTTGTTGGGGTGTAGAGGCAGTAACGTCCGATTTTTGTGAGCAACCAAAATTGCGATTTGTTTTCTGTTTAAAAATATTTTTTATAAAACATACTTTTCGTGTGGTAAGCAGATAATATGAGCTGGCCATATTTGCCCACGAAACAATAACCGTTGGGGTAGACGAGTTCTGGAGTGGAGACCGCGTCTAGGCAAACGTAGTGTAGGACGTCCTCAGGCGCGATGGAGTGACGATTTGCGCAAGGTGGCTGGTAGGAGCTGGATGCGAGTAGCCCAAGATCGATCAGAGTGGCTTGCATTTGGAGAGGCCTATGTCCAGCAGTGGACTTGGATAGGCTGTTGATGATGATGAAGCAGATGGGTGAAGGAGGACCTCTCTTCTGTTTCCTTGCTTGTAGTCTAAGATCTAGACTACAAGAAACGAACCTCACTTTCATTTTCTTGGTCTTTTTTTAATGTTTACGTGAATTTTCAGAATTATTCATTGTTATTATTAATGTCTAGTTTTATTCTACGTGATGTTGGCAACTTTTGTGGCAGCCACAGAATTGCTAAAAAATCAAAAAAATGTTAGGCATTCTACGAAAATAAATGTATTACGCTTTTTTTCCAATCATATCAATGATCAATAACTTCGATTATTCAGTCAGAGGTATTGAATTGCTTTCATTCGTAGTACTCACGATATCCGAACAAATCTATTGCACTATGAACTGGTTTAGCGAAATCCGCTCGATCCGATAATGTTCAAATAGCCATTAATTTGCCGGTGCATCATACTCGGTATCCGTGATATTCGATGTTGGGGAGACCACGCGTTCCGCAAGAGTTCGGACTTTTGCAAGTAAAACAATCATCAATAGTTTATCTTTAAAATGTACTTTAAAGAGAGGTAAGGCAGAGCGGATTTTCTGCTCGAATTGGAGCGCCCGTCTGAGAAAGCCTTCACCTTACAAAAGACCACAGTAAAATAACACTATCTTTTGGTGGTGTTGTGTTTTTGTCGGTGAGTAAGGTTTTAGGGCTCCACGGGGTAGGAGATTGGGTTAGAAAAGGCAACGGTTCGAGTGATATTCTTTGTATCGCAAGTGTCTTAGGCTTTGGTGGCCGCTTACCATCAGCTTATTTGCCACCATTTTAACATGAAAAACCTCATAAGATATATGAATTTTATTCATTATATAAACGAAAAAATCTTGTACTTAAATGGTATCGTTCTATCAGTAAAGGAATTTACGTTTGGAATACAGCTGAAGTTTAGATCGAGTGAAAAAGGTCGAAAATAAGTTTAGCCATTGACTCCTATTTTATTAATGACATATGTGGGTATATAAAATGATAAAAAAATGCTCTGCTAAAATTTTACCAGTCTGTCTACCTTAAAAAGCTACTACATTTTTATAATTTTGAAACGTACGCACTAAGTTATGTATCTGTAAAAGTTACAGAAAGTATTGAAGATATGGATTTGCATTTTTACTTTGTGCAGCCAAACAACAAGCAAGGAATTATAGAAAAGGCATTTGAATGTTGCACTTGTATGTACACAGGTTGGAGTACAATTTTAACTGAACCGCATGGTCACCCCAGTGTACAGATACAATATTCGGCAATATATCAATCGTTAAAACTACCTATGTTGTTTTTTTAAATACCAATAATCCGGCATTTTTATTTTATCCCTGAAAGCATTCATGGTAGCTCCAATTTTAATGATGGCACAACGTTTTACCTCTAGCGGAAAATCTCAACGATTCCTAGAAATTGCAGGAAAATCTACAATTTGCGATGTTCACATGTTCGCTTCAGGTTCGCAGATGGAATTTTTGAAAAACCTGCATTGGACAGCGTTCGTTTTCTATTCAAACCTCAATATGAATGCACTGCATGATCTTTTCATGGATTGGTGAATAGAATTTTGTGTATAGCTCGATGAACAATCATTCGCAAACCGAATTTCTGGTTGAGTGTTTCTTTACCACTGTGGGTTCCTTGATGGAAAGTTTGATTTGATTTATATTCTCATATAGCAAAATATAACACTGTACTTTGTAAGTTAGATTTATCACACTAATATTATAAAAATAAAATTTTATATGGAGTCAGCTGATACGCTGGATTAATACATAGGCTACGTTTCACTGCGGGAAAGTATCCCTAATAAACCGCGGGTAACACCGCGAGGCACATCTAGTAAAATATAAGTGTGAATGTACGCTTTCAAAATGCTATGTTATATATATCTTTAAAACTCTTTTTAAATATTTTCCTCAATAAATATCCATTTTACAAGGTTTTAATAATCGCTATATCTTTATTTATATATGTATTTACTTAGATACTTGCTTAGTTTAAAACTTATTGACACCACCAAAGACAGCTTTTTTTCACAAAATTGTGCCCCGGATAATTGTTAAATTTCCATCCATCATCATCCCTGTATTGACCTATGAACTTGTAAGTATTTCTCTCAGACTACTAAAATTATATTTTTATTTTAGTCGACATAGACCAAGACACTGTGTTACATAAAGAAATTGTAACTCATCTCTCTCGATTTAATGAAAAAATTAAATAAGCTGTTCTTGGTTTAGTTAGTCCTTGAACGGACCAAGGACTTAGAAATGAAAGCATAATGTAAAAAGGACATTGTCCTATCCTTAAACTAATTTATGTCAAGTCAATTTTCATTATATTAAGCAGCGCTCCTCATTTGCATAACAAAGGCCGTAAAAACCTTTTATCGTTCCACCGAAATTATCAATTTTTGATCAAAAATTTGCTAACGTCGGCTCTTTGTTTATATAACTCAATCATTGAAATAAGTATTTGATAATAAATTTATCGTTGTTTTTGCTTAAGATATTATTTTTTGTTTACAACATTACATCGATAACCAATATATATACAATACATATCTATGGAAGAAGAAAAAAAGAAAACATAATTTGTTATATGTAGTACGCATTCCAAAAGTAACTAAATAGGGATGATGACGTGATAAATTAAATGCAATTATATATAGTCCGTCAGTTAGATGAACAGAAAGTAATGGACAAAATTTTTTTCTTTTCTCCATCAACCAAAAATTACAAAAATGAAGCGCGTCAAAGTTTGGGTGTGGGTCTCGTGACGTCGCTTCTAGGTAAAAATTGTACCAAGACGTAACGTTATGTGACATTTCAAATAAATATATATCTGTAATGTTTTGATTAAGTAGACAAATAAAAATACGTGTCCAATGCTTTTAGATAAGTTAACTGATAGACGATGAAAATAAAGTTAGTCATGCGTAAAAACAAACTTTCTTTTATCGGCGCTAGAATATCAGATGTCCAAAAATTCAGTTTTATTGCCTGGCAAAATTTTCAATATAACAGCACTATTATTAATCGATTCTAAGAAGAACCTAGAATACCCCTCGTCTTATAAGAAGGATCGTGTAGCTACCCTCATCGGATATACCTTTGCTGTGGTATTATCTAACAGGCGGGACCGCACCGCAACGCGAATGTGCGAATAATGACGTAATATATCTGTGACTCGAGGGACCGTACAAAGTGGAGAAAAATTTGCGCCTTTTTAAATTTGAATTGACCTTGCTAGAAATAAAATAAGAAACTGGCAAGTCAGCGTGAAGTATCCCGTACCGCCGTAACATGTACGTTGCTGAAACGGCGATAACAATATCGTATTAAAACCTCCTTTGTCTTATATATTTTTTCGCTGAAAATCATAGAGCAACGCTGCCGCATCGGCCAGCAGGGGAGTTGCCATTCACAGCGTTTCCCTCTGTCCATTTGCCCCCGCTGTTAGGCCAGTACAAAAACAAAAGTAGCTGCGCGTCGGATATTTTACAAGACTGAGGCCCGTATTATAGAAAGATTCTCAGTAATGAATCTGGTCTTGAGCATAGATAGAAAGGGATGTCGGTCAGTTTCGTCTATGGCCGATTTAGTGCTGTCATTTTTTATGTGTGAGAGTCGTATTTACAATTTCGTTTTTGGGAAACTATGTTGGATTGCATTTGTGTTTCTTTTTTTTTATGTTATAGGGGGCATAAATAATAATTTGTGTGTATTACTCCCCTCGCAAAAAGCGGCAGAATGAATGAATGAAATGAAATGGCGATGAGATGGCGCTGCCTTGCAGCCTAAGGCTAGGAAAATTTCGACGCGGCTAAGAGGGCCGTGGTAGCATAATGGTAAGTGCATTCGCCCGGATTGCGAAGGATGCGGGTTCGAGTCCCGTCCGCTGCAGAATCGGCTTTATAGTACCGATCGGGGCGCGCTACCCACGGTACTATAAAGCCGTTTTTTGTGATAGTTATTAGCCTACTTTTGTATTAAAAAGTTTAACCATAGATTAACTTGGCGAAATGACCTATATATAGAGCCGTAAAGTTTAAATACCCCTCATGAATTTAAAGTTTAAAACCCCAAGCAGTTAAACCTTTTTTTTTCAATACAAAATTCATATTATTTTGTTAAAATTCAATCGTTGGACTTGTTTGACAAAACAATCGAATCGGCAGTACAACTTTCAGATCTGTCAATAAAAAATCTTCAGTTTCGTCTATGGCCGATTTAGTGCTGTCATTTTTTATGTGTGAGAGTCGTATTTACAATTTCGTTTTTGGGAAACTATGTTGGATTGCATTTGTGTGTTTTTTTTTATGTTATGGGGGGCATAAATAATAATTTGTGTGCATTACTCCCCTCGCAAAAGCGGCAGAATGAATGTATGAAATGAAATGGCGATGAGATGGCGATGAGATGGCGCTGCCTTGCAGCCTAAGGCTAGGAAAATTTCGACGCGGCTAAGAGGGCCGTGGTAGCATAATGGTCAGTGCATTCGCCCGGATTGCGAAGGATGCGAGTTCGAGTCCCGTCCGCTGCCTAGTCCGCGTAGATTTTTTTCTAGTAAACTTTTCTTTAGATTTGATTATTTCATGAAAGTTGTATGAGAATAATAAACACGCGATAATTAGTTAAAAAAAATATTATAATGTTACGGGCTAGTGCAAAATAATTATACACATTAAGGGCAGTTTCTTAGCCATGTCCTTTACATCATTTACCTATAATAGCTAACATGATTCTTAAGATAGAGTGGTTTTCACAAAAGATCTTGGTGGTCATATATTGGTTTGAAATAGTATGTATCTCTTATCTATTAGACAAGTCCGTCCGTCCGTCTGTCTGTGGTGCTTTTTCAGCGGCCAAACCGTAAGAGATAGATAAATAGAATATTTAAGTTATAAGTTAAGAATAGTCTGATAAGACTACAAACCGGATTTGAGTAACGTAGCACTTCCGGTTTTCGAGAAATCACGAATTTCACTGGTTTGCTAGTGTACATTTAATTTGAATAAACAAAGTAGAGTTTCACAGCGGTAACATAACTGGCGATAACACATTTAAAATTATTATATGTAATTTTCTTTGTATTTTAGTATTCAAAGAATAATAACTACGTCGAGTATGCATTACATTTAAAATTATTATATGATCTTGTCAGTTAAGCAATTTTCGCAATGGTCGGTCACAGGATGGGGAGGTCAGATTTTTTTTATCTCGAACTCCTTTGTAAGGCACTTTAAACCGTTGGTTCCGGCTGCATCTAAAGAAGTTTTCAAAAACATTCTATTTAGTTCTTATTGCAGCCGTGACAGCCTGACTGACGCGTTCGGCGACTCAAAGAATGGTGACAGCGGCGATTATCGTAAATCACCGGCACCTGAAGATGACATCCTGGCTGGTAGCGCACACCAGAGGCCATCAGGTAACAAACTTGTGGCGACTTGGATTTTAATAATTCTGACTTGATATAAGCGTCAACGCGCGGTTCACGGTGACACACATAAACACTAATCCCGTCAGGTTCATTCTTAATTCATTCTATATAGCATACATACCATAATAGGAAATAGACAATTATATTCGGAATCAGATTAATGTTGAACTATACTTGTGAAGTGAATAAACAATCAGTGAGTTAACTATACCACATTTTATTAAATGTTACACATCATCCTTTCCTGTATTTTTCACTTGGCACTGCTTGTATGGTTTCAGCGACGAGCTTTGTATTGTTAGTCATATGCGAAAACGTGTTAATGGTGTCTAGATTTACATTTAGTTATAATTGCTGTTAAAAAAAACACTGTACGTTTTCCGAATAAAATAAAATAAAATAAAATAAATAAAAATAGGCGACTACTGTAAGGCTCGCTCGTTTTTTTTATCAAAGAATTTCTATATAAATAAATTAATACTAAATATCGTAACTTAACTAACAAATATTCTATTATCTAATACTAGTTTAAAACAAAAAAAGAAAAACAAAAAATATACTATAACAATGAACCTAAAACTAAAAAACCTTAAAAAATAAAATATAATAATATACATTATTAAAAGGAGTCCCTTTAGGCAAGGTTCCGAAGATACTGGCAGCGTTCCCCCTTTGGATAGCTAGACTATAAGCTCTTCGGTCTCCTGTGGTGTCGACTAATATTTTTGCTATTTTAAACATTTTATTTACCGTTCCACCGTCACCACTATCACAGCGAACTCTAATAGTTGTATCCCATAAAAAACTATTATAACACGTGTTCAAACAAATTTTGTATTAAACATTTTCTTTCAAACTCGTTGAATGCCTAACTTTTTTTTTGTAGTATGGCTCCTCTTTAGTAAAGATTTTCGTACTTTGATTATCCCGATGTTCCGATCGGGTTCCAAAGTCAAAGTCAAAATTTCCATATTCAAATTGAAAGCAAAACACAAAGAGCTGCATTGAATCTTCTTACCCGTACCGTTAAAGACATTTTTACAGATTTTGTTCGATCTAATGGCTCTTTAATTTTTAGTGACGGAGTCGGAGAACATGATCCCACGTCACTTGTCTCCAGAGGTGGCTGCCGCACTGCAGAGCGTCAGGTTTATCGCGCAACACATCAAGGACGCCGACAAGGATAACGAGGTAAGTATATTATCCAAAAGTCGTATTTTATGGCTATTAACGGGATTGTTACCATGTTCCTTGTTTTTTACGAGTTTCCGATATTTTGGCACTGTTGCAAGCGCCATGATTACGGAGTAACCTTGGAGTAACTGAAGTATTTGCGGGTAGATGTTATTGAAAGACATATCGGTATACACTCTGACGTCGTTTTGGTAACAATCCCGTTAATAGCCATAGTGTTAGTGACCATGAAATTTTAAAACAATAAGTCGTATTTTAATCATCATCATCGTCAGCCTATTAATATACCCACTGCTGGGGCACAGGCCTTCTCTATGGATGGAATAGGGAGATTGGGCCATGACCCACCACGCGGGCCCAGTGCAGCGTCTGCAGATGCAGCCGGGACCAACGGTTTAACGTGCCTTCCGAAGCACGGAGGAGCTCGAGATAGTAAATTTTTGGTCACCCATCCAATGACCGACCACTGCGACAGTTGCTGAACTTCAACGATCGCAGCCGAACGCGCTGACCAACTGCGCCATCGAGCTCCTCAGTATTTTAATCATCCTTAGTTAAATACTGAATCAAAGACACATATAATTCACTAATCAAAAGTCATATTTCTTGATGAAATACATGATCATAAAAAATGGAGTAAGCGAAGTAAGCGTGAAATAGAGGGAGAGAAGAGAGGTAGGGCAAAGCAGTTTTTCCGCTCGTATTCGAGCGGCTGTCTGGGAAAATAACAGAAGATACACATACAGAAGATTATAGTGAAATAACACTACCTTTTGGTGGTGTTGTATTTCTGTCGGTGATTAGGTTTTTGGGCTTCACGAGGTGGAGGATATTTTTGGTATCACAAACGTTTATGGGTTATATGGATCATAGGCTCGTTTGCTACCCTTTTAACATAAAAAAAAGAAAGCGATTCTGCTGTCTGAGTTTGCGTTCGTGTTTAAATTACAGACAGTCATGGAACGCTAATTTTCTCTGTGTATACTGTTCTGAAAGCTCAGCAAAAAATTAAATGAAAATGGTTTTTATTTCTCAAAGAGTCAGTTTACAGTACAAGTTGAGACAATCCAGAAAGAAATAATTAATACTTGTGTATACGAGGATGCCTCGCTCTTAGCCTAGTGCAGTTAACAAATTTCGGGCACATAACAACTAAGTTCTTAAAGTATCAGGTGTATTTGTATAAGTGTGTGTGTGTGTATGAATGTGTGTGTGTGTGTGCGAGACAGAGAGTAAGTGCGTGCAAGCTCAGCAAAAAATAACGATGGAAAATTTTAATTCCAAAATAACAATTTTTTTTAAAAAGTTTTATACTGCCGATCACAAAACTAAAACAAAAATACACATTTGTATTTATATTTGTATATATGTGTATATATATATAGCACAACAAGCCGATGCCTACTTTTTAGAGGGAAGGAGAACGATTTTATTGACCGAAAAATACAAGCATAATTTTGAACATAAACAGAGGAAATAGAGTACTCATAAAGATTGTTCTGTTTCAAATGAATATTCAAAATGCAACACCTAAAAATAGCGGCGTTCCCCCAATCCTTATGTAAAACGAAAGTCCGCAACACAAAATAAATTGGATGTTACACTAAGTGAAACCCGAATTTATGAATTTCCAAGTGGGGTGTAAGTACAGAAAAAATAAATACATTCCGGTACCTACTATGTTCCTGCCTGCCTTGCTTGCCGTCTTAATTATCGTCGAATAATAATAAAGAACGAAAAAACATTACTTTTATTACACCGGGTTCGTTTTAATATTCATGTGGTCGCCGTGTTCCTGCAAAGGGCGGGCGCTGCGAAAGGCGGGCGGCGATCAAATAAATAAAAAAAAACTCAAATGAGGTCCAGATTTTTTTAAAAACAATATGTAATGCAACACGACCATAACGTAGACTCTTAGGGCTACTCGTATGGCTCTTTGAGAATCTTTGAAATACCCATGAATAACCCGTGTACTAATCCTACCCTACTAATCTGTTTTAAAGTGTATAACAAAGTTGTGTTAGTTTGAACACTCATAACTCGAGAACATATACCGATTTTAATGAGCACTGATTTTTTGGATTCCTCACTACCCCGAATAGCAGAATAACTATTAGAAATACAGAATAAAAGAAATGAAAAAATAATAAATATTGAAATAGTGGGTGAAATTGCCGTTTTTCATGAAATAAGTTAACGCCCTTTTTAAGCTATTTTTTAATTTTATTTTCAAAGTAATTGTCTACCCATATATATCCTAAATATATACCCGTGCTAACAATGCATTTTTTCCAACATAGTGGTAGCTTATTGATGCCCTTTTTAAAAAAGTGTCCTGGACGAGAGGCAACAACTTCTTCAAAGGCATTTTGAACTGCCTCTCGGCTATTGATTTTTTTTCCGCTAACAAGTTATCCAAATTCGGGAAAAATTAAAGTCTATAGGGGCACGGTCCGGTGAGTGCGGTGAATGACGGAGAACTTCCAACTCCAGCTCTTGTAACTTGGAGACCGTCTGTTGTGCAGCGTGAGGTCGCGCGTTATCGTGCAGGTGCAGCGGAGCCGAATGATTAATCAAAGCTGGTAGGAGATGTGCGAGCTCCTCCATCATTGTGTTCAGTTCTTCATAGTACACATCAGCACTAATGCTCATCCCGTTTGGTAAGAAGCTGTAATGACTGACACCAGCGCTAGACCACCACTGATCACTTTTTAGGGGTCAGTTTTCGTTTGGGGCATTGTTTAGGTGCTGAACCAGGATATAACTAACTTGCTGAGCGCTTGCGATTGTCGAACAGTAACATTTTTCGTCGCAAATAACAATGCCATTCAATATGCCTTCGTTTGTGTGCCTGTAGAGCAATACAAGGCTCGACGCGTACTTCGCTTTGGCGATCATTCAATTCGTGTACACCCATTTGTCAAGCTTTTTTACCTTGCCAATTTGACGCAAATGGACCAATATACATTTGATGCTAACATCGAAAGCTGCTGCTAATTCAGCTGTAGATTGTGAATCATCAGCTTCCACAATCGTCGTTAATACGTCGTTATCGACCAAAGTTTTCAGTCGACCACGGGGTTCATTTCTTGGGTCGAAATTTCCAGAATGGAAGCGGGCAAACCAATAAAGGATGGTGCGATCATTAGTAGTGTCTTGGTAACTATTAAGTAATCTGTGATGGTGTTCGTTCCGTATACGTCATTGATGTTGTGTGCCGGTTTGTTGCCACGACGGTACACATATTCGAATATCTCGAATTTTCAACGTATTCATGATGAGGAAAAACGTACAAATGCGCTGAAAGCAGAACTTTATCCGTTAAAAAAATCACTAATTTTTAAATAGTATTCTATATGTTAAATATAAAAATGGGCTGTACTTAGAATTTTTATCGAAAAAAGAAAAAGAATGCTCTTGAAGTAGCCTGCTGGCAGAACGGCAGTTTCACTTGTGTTGATCTTGGAATGACTATCACTGTTTGGTGGAAATCCAGTAAAATGATTGCTTCTTAGAATGACCTCAAATTATTATACAGATTAAAACGATTTTAGTATCGAGCTAACCTTATTCTTGATCGTTTTCTCATCTAAAATAGAGGCAGTTCAATTCCCCAACGAAGTGGACAGAATAGCCGTGTAATTACTAAATCCTCGAAGGTTACTTTTAGCATTTTCAAATTAGATCAGATTGGTTGCCTGGTCCATTTCCCATTAACTATATTCAGTCAAAGTCATTTAGTCGACCCTTACGGCTTACTAGGAAATTAAGAATAAAGAAAATATAACTAGAAAAAATTCCACGCGGACCAGGCAGCAGACGGGACTCGAACCCGCACCCTTCGCAATCCGGGCACATGCACTGACCAATTATGCTACCGCGGCCCTCACGGACCGCGTCGAAATTCTTTCTAGCTATTCTTAAGCTGCAAGGCAGCGCCATCTCTTCGCATTATAGGTAAACCCACAATGTCAAATGAATACTTTTACAAGTATTAAACATTTGTAAGAAGAAATAACAATTATAGTTATAATTTTTATTATTTTTAAAGCATGTAACTGCTTGATGTCTGGTCCGCGTGGAATTTTTTCTAGTTATATTTTCTTTAGATTTAAACATCAAGCAGTTACATGCTTTAAAAATAATAAAAATTATAACTATAATTGCTATTTCTTCTTACAAATGTTTAATACTTGTAAAAGTATTCATTTGACATTGTGGGTTTACCTATAATGCGAAGAGATGGCGCTGCCTTGCAGCTTAAGAATAGCTAGAAAGAATTTCGACGCGGTCCGTGAGGGCCGCGGTAGCATAATTGGTCAGTGCATTCGCCCGGATTGCGAAGGGTGCGGGTTCGAGTCCCGTCTGCTGCCTGGTCCGCGTGGAATTTTTTCTAGTTATATTTTCTTTAGATTTAAACATCAAGCAGTTACATGCTTTAAAAATAATAAAAATTATAAATTAAGAATAGTTCTATTTTTGGAAATGAAAACCAATCAGAGATTCTAAAAACATCAGCGTTATTTCGAATCAATATTTTCCGTTCAAGTTTGGTGAAATAATTTCTATTTAAGATAATATAATATTTTACTGATTTGCAATGAATCTCAATGCAAATAGGCAATATCATGGCCAATACACATGTTTCACGTAACGCATGTGTAGGGCTCATGGCTCAATTGTATTGCCTTACTTAACAGAATTATAGACTATTAGACTAAATTTTTCTTTCCATTTTTTATTTAGTAATATTAAAGCAGTCGGTATATTTTATTTTAAATTGAACTTTTTTAATTAAACATTTATTCCATTTTCCAAGTTATTCAGTGGTACATTACGTATTTCACTAGGTTTTTTATACATATATGTCACAATTCCTAAGTATGCTATTTACTAATACCTCACCGATTAAGGTCCCTTTTGTATCTCGCCGTCCCCAAAACTCGGTGACGCTGTAAAGGTCATCTGCGACCAACAGCATACACAATTAAAAAAAC